TCAATTTGAAAGAGATTCCGGCAAAAATAATCCTATATTTTATAAAAAGAACGTGTTTTTCGTGAATTTAAGTTGTCTATGCTCTAACCTGTGTGTGACGTCATAGCGGGTTACGCCCATGCATTGAAAACCATGGATCTATGCCACAGGACTGCCTTTTCTCTCTTCTCTCCACTGGTGCCCAACACAATACTGCCCTCTACAGGTGACAATTGCTCACTACACATGAATTGCCGTTTTGAGTGTGAAAAAGTGTCTGAGGTGGGATTTGAACCCAAGTATCTGGATTGGCGGCCCAGCGACACAACCACTGGACTATCTCAGTGACAACAAAATGTTACATTCTAGTAGTTATCTTAGACTCGCTGTACACGGCCTTGTCATCTTGAATATCCGCGAAAAAAGAACGAATACCAAATTGTAAACAACTTACAGCGTTGAAACGTACCCACTCTGACGTCACCAAGGGCTGTGAAGTTTTTTCGTTTCTAAGGGCGTTGCTATGGGGTTATTTCGATTTGGGGGGATCAGACAAAAAAAACAACAACTGATTTTGAAACCTTTAGTAGTTCTCTTCTAATATAAAATTGTATTAAAACTGTATTTCTAAATAAATCAAACCCGTCATAAGGTCTTTAATAAAAGAAGACAGCATGAAATACATACTCATATATATCGTAAAAGTAAAGTGGTAAAACTCAATTGGTGTCAAAAGCCAAGCCGTAAAAAAAATTCTTTAGACTTGCCTTAAAAAAACATGATTATATTTGATCCAATTCTCCGATAAAGAAATAACTTCAAAGGTATATAGGAGGATTTTCCCAAGTTTAGGAAAGAAAAGCCCATTCTGCTTAAAAAAAAAGAAAAGGAAAAAATCTCCAGAATGATTAACAATTAGGAGGACCAATCAATGATCCACCCGGAAGTAGAAAATCCTCCTACTGTATGTACTTTTAAGTGTTGTGTGATAGGGACTTCAAACCCCTTCAAAAATCATGGGTTATTATAAAATGTTAGAAAAAAAAATAAAAATTGCAAAACTTAAAAACAGTGAAAAAAATCCGTACAGCTATGTAGCTCCCAATTAGTGTTTTTTTATTCACATACCACGCTGTAACGTTTCGGGGTCTGACGAAGGGCCTCAGCCAGAAACGTTACAGCGTGGTATGTGAATAAAAAAACACTAATTGGGAGCTACATAGCTGTGCAGATTTTTTTCACTGTTTTTACGTTAAAATGTTGACATTGATTCGATTCGAGGAAAGGCAAATGTGCAGTGGATTTATGTAAAGTCTCCTTGTTCTCTCTTCTTTAGAATAAGATTTACGTGTGTTTTTGTGTGTTTTGAATCCTATTTATGACAAATTTCATTCTCTCCGACAGCCAGAATTTTTATAAAGAGGACGACCGAACGGCTCTCTGTCCAAATATCAAAGTATTTTCATAATGTATTCATTATTTAACAAGAAACGTCAATTTGAATCATGTTTAAGTGATTGCAGGATATTGACGGGATTTTCTCAGTTCACAGTAATTTCTCATTCACACGTTTACAGTTGAGACGACGGAGTTTGTCCAAATACTACACATTTCATACAAACTGATCTCAAGACGATGGTAACACCGCACTTGGTAAATATGCATGGAACCAGAATGTGTGGAACTGTAGAGCAACACACACCCAGAGAGACACACACAGGCACAGATACACAGTGAGAGAGGGAGAGAGAGAGACACACACACACACACACAGTGAGAGAGAGAGACACACAGGCACAGATACACAGTGAGAGAGAGACACACAGGCACAGATACACAGTGAGAGAGAGAGACACACAGGCACAGATACACAGTGAGAGAGAGAGACACACAGGCACAGATACACAGTGAGAGAGAGACACACAGGCACAGATACACAGTGAGAGAGAGAGAGAGAGAGACACACACAGGCACAGATACACAGTGAGAGAGAGACACACAGGCACAGATACACAGTGAGAGAGAGACACACAGGCACAGATACACAGTGAGAGTGAGAGAGAGACACACAGGCACAGATACACAGTGAGAGAGAGAGACACACAGGCACAGATACACAGTGAGAGAGAGAGACACACAGGCACAGATACACAGTGAGAGAGAGACACACAGGCACAGATACACAGTGAGAGAGAGACACACAGGCACAGATACACAGTGAGAGAGAGACACACAGGCACAGATACACAGTGAGAGAGAGAGAGACACACAGGCACAGATACACAGTGAGAGAGAGAGAGAGACACACACAGCGTGAGAGAGAGAGAGAGAGAGAGAGAGAGACACAAGCACAGATACACAGTGAGAGAGAGACACACACACAGTAAGAGAGAGAGAGAGAGAGAGAGACACACACACACTCAAAGAAATGATTCAGGTGGTTAGTATTTTGAACTCAAAATACATACTAAACTAAACTCAATAATTGATTTTTGCCAGTTTTACTTAAATTAGTGTGGTCGCAACTCATTTTAAACATGCCCGCCTCAATTAAAAGTTAATACAAGAATCCTAACTCATTTTTGTAACAAATTTGAACTTGATAATCTGGCAGAACTGGACAACGGAGAAGTATTGAGTTTGCTCAACATGAAAATCCTCTTGTAAGCCTGGTGGCCCATTAATGAAAAAACAAATATATTGAGTTGATTCAAAATAAATATATTGAGTTGATTCAAAATAAATATATTGTGTTGATTGAAAACAAAATGTGGCGAAGCAGTGACCCTACCCAGAATGCATTGCAGCGAAAAATATAAACTTCTTAAAAATTCTACATTTGAGCATTAATTTTAAAACTGAATATGAAGCAAGTCCAAAAGCAAAATACTTGAGCAACATTCTGAATAAACTAATTTGACCAAATAAGTAATTGTATTTATTTTTATCAACCATGATCGAGAGGGCCAAGCCAAAGCAGTCCTATACTCCCTGTGTCACCCTTCAATTTTGAACAAATACTTTAAGGTGGACATGTTTACCAGTGACTGTGCTGGCCCACTCTCATATATATGTGGAGTGAGAGACTACTGCCTAAAATTAACAATTGTGAACCATTGTGTGAATCTAATCTTTGAAAGATGGAATTTGAATAAAGATTACGTGTTCCTGACTGAAAATCACTTGTTGAATATACTCAAAAAGATTTATTTTCAATGTAATTATTTAAGTTGGTAGTATTGTTAAAATTGAGTTGAACTGATGCTAAAACACTTGCTGAATATACTTAACAAAGTGTCTTTATAACTCAATTATCCAAGTTGGTGGTATTGAAAAAATTGTGCTGGACCAATGATAAAAGACTTACAAAGAATACTTAAAACACAGTCTTGTTCGCAAAACTTAAAAAGATGCATGCAAAATGCTGCCTCAATTTTATTAAGTTTTGCCAATGCATTTTTTTTTAGAGTGCAGGCACAGATACACAGTGAGAGAGAGAGAGAGAGAGAGAGAGAGAGACACACAGAGAGGGAAACAGACAGACACAAAGAGAAACACACGGTCAGGGAAAGATAAATACAGACACACACATACACACAGAGAGAGAAACTTAGATACACACAGAAAAACACAGACACACACACACAGATTGAAACAGACACACACACACACAACCACTGAGCCACAGATAAAAATCATTGTTGTTGCTTCTGCAGATTTATTAGTAATTAAACTAGATCTCATGCCGAAACAAAATGGCCGACATACTCCCATGTTTTTCAGGCTCTCGCTGAACTTTGAGACGTCAAATCGTGGCCTTGACTCTTTGCTCTTTCACCTTTACATTTTAACAGACCAAGCTGTTTGCAAAACTAGCGCTCAGCAAAATAATAAATGTCGAAACTTTAAAAAAAAGAATAAAATCAATATTATGGAAAAGGAGGTATTGGATGTAATGGAAAAACTCAACCATGAAACTGAAGTCATGACTTATTCAAATGACAATGTGGTTTTACTGCAAATAGCAAATAAATGAATCTGAACTAAACTAAAGGCACAAGTGACAGGAGACAGAAAAACTAATCTGATTTTAATTTTAATTTAATATGATTTTCTCTATCTCATCGTGTAACATGTGCTCAATGTCCCTTTAACATTGTTGGTATATCGCCTCTTACCATTGTTGTTTTTTTATTTATTTATTTTTTCATTACCATTGTTGGTATATTATCTATCACCATTGTTGGTGTTAAAATGTAAATTTCCTCGTTGCCCGTAGTAACGCCATCATGATATAACACTGTAAAATAATGCTGGAACAAAGTAACAGTGAAGTTGATAGTTTAATCACTGAATGGGGATAAAGGGGTGGGATTAAATACGTTTTTCTTCTTCCCACTCCTTTTCAGGCAGAATTATACGACCATGTTTATACCGTACATTTATTGTTTATACTGTTTTTTTTGTTTAATGTGTGTTTTGTCTGCATTATATGATTTATATTATTTAACTGCATTTAATTACGTTGTTTACTCACCTGTGCCAATGCCTGAAACAAATTAATACATGAAAAATTAAAACTAAATGTCGAGCTGGAGCCCACCGACTCCAGATTTATGCAGCTAAAATCTGGAGCAGTCTTCCTGACAATGTGAGACAGGTTTCTGCTCTGACATTGTTCAAATCAGGATAAAACCAGTTCTGTTTAACTGCAACTTAACTGAAGGACTGTAACTTTACTATTTTTTAAGAACTGTGATTATTAATGATTTAAATGCCTTGTGTGTGTTTGGCGTTGCCTTGTGTATGCACTGTGCTATACAAATAACCTCGCCTCTTACTGAAACAAGTTTGGGCACCCCTGACATAGAATTTACTGCAGATGACATAACACACATAAGCGGCCACCCTCCCCTCTTTCCACAATCACAATCACACACACGCACACACACAATCTAGCACACACAGTTAGATAATTCTGTTTTATATTCTTTCCCATTGCTTCGTGAACAAACTGAAGGTTACTCCGTGCTGTTCCCAGACGAAGCCTTCTTCTCCTCCTCCTCCCATCTCGCTGCAGCTGTCTCCCAACCATGACCACTTCCACAGCGCAACCCTGACACCCAGTGGCCGCACACCGTCATTGCACCCTCAGTATGTTTTCAAAGTGCGTCACCACATCCTCCAGAGCGGGCCTGGGTGTGGAGAGGAGGCAGTGATTTGTCTCTGCTGGAGAACGGGCTTTTGAAGCTGGGTAAGTAAAGTGCAAGTGCTTTTAAGATGGATCTGGCGAGAGGGGAGAGAGACGTGGGAGAGGAGAGAGAGGAGAGGAGGCAGGAGAAATGAAAGAGAGGAAAGAGAGAAGAGGGGAGAGAGAGGAACGAGAGGATAAAGAGGAGAGAGAGAGGAGAGATGAAAGCAGGGAGAGGGGAAAGAGAGAAGAGAGGCGAGGGGAGAGAGAGGAAAGAGGATAGGAGGAAGGAGAGAGGAAAGAGGGGAGGAGGAAAGGGGAAAAAGAGGAGAGTGGAGAGAGAGAAGAGAAGAAAAAGAGGGGAGGAGACAGAAAGGAGAGAGAGAGGAGAGAGGAGAAAGAGGAGACGGGAGAGAGAGGAGAGAGGGGAAATCATACCCACCCACACATAATGCATATTTGTCGGGACATTTGCATTTTCAGTTTTTCCCTCCTGCCACACGTGTCACATACTGGATGAGAGCTTTTGAATATGGAGCCATGTTTGAACAAAAAAGAACAAGGTCAGAATTCATGCGGCTGTTAAAGGCTTTTTAAACACAAAACTATAAATACCTAAATCTAGAACTACAAACTTATGCACGACATCTGCAGGCCCCTCCACACACATCTGCAGACATGACAACGGGTCTCCCTCGTCCTGCAGCCAGTGTTCTCCCCTATATACGATCTCCAGTCTGCCCCTTGTGGTTAGCAGAGGTACTGTATAGTGCAGTGAGCCCAAAGCCACAGGACAACAATTTCTACCTCAACTGCTGCTGTGACCTTAAGTGCTGTTGCATTTCATTATTATTACTATTGTTAACTTTTTAGAATGATCAATTTGTTTGTTTGGATGGATGTGGTTTTGCTGCTACCGGACACCTGAATTTTTCCTACGGGATAAATAAAGTATTTATTTCTCTGTTCCTCTAAACAATCCAATTTCATCAGCTAAATGTAAGTCTATTTCATGTTCAGGGCAATACTAATTCAGTAAACGTTAATAAATTACACCTGTACAAACACATGTTGCGGTTTAAATAGGCTTTACTTTAAATGAACAGTATGTAAAAATCAGTCCAAAAGTGGTACTGCAGCCTCTCCCATGCTCCCTGACTCAGGTTGCCAGATATGCAGACGAATCCAGCTGGGAACATAATATCTGGATCTATAACCAATCATAACAAAACCTTTTTAGTACGGCCTGGTATCTTACTTTACCATTGAGATTAACTTGACGATAGGAGTGTGACGATATATCGATATAACGATATATTGTGATACTTTCTCCCGCGAACGATAATCAATATGCATCTGCCAAGTATCTTTCTTTTTAATTTTTTTATTTATTAGTATCAATACTTAATATATGACTACATTACGCATCTCTATTCCATTTATCATGACATAAAGTGTATTTTTTCACTTAAACTTTTTCTTTTATTTATGCCATAAATTGGCATATGGTATATTTCTGACCAATATATCGATAATCGTCATATCGTGATATAATCGTTATCCTGAGCTTTGTATTGCGTATCGTATCGTATAGTATCGTGAGGTACCCTGAGGTTCCCACCCCTAATGACGCGGTGAGTTCTGGCAACCCGGATCACAGACTTTCTGATTGGTGAAACGGTGGAGGGCGGGACATCGAAATGAAAACAACAAGATTTAGGGGCCGTAAAACTAATTTTGAAATTTGAATATCTCTGAACTACTGTTATCAGTTAAAGAAGTATTGGATAAGAGCATGTTTTACTATTGATTTTTTAGAGATTAGGGCCCTTTAATGATGACGTGACATGAAAATTTGACATATTGCTACTTTATCAACAAAGTAGCAATATGTGACCACATACAATTGCTTTTTTACCAACTCAAGAGTCATACAATTTTCTCCCTTAACTGCAAAATATCCAAAGTGAAATAGTGCAGCAATACTTGATCCTCACTTAAGCATTTATACAATGTGTGTCACTGTTATAAACTAATCATCTTGACCATAGACTTGATAATTACCGTCTCAACTAATTGTTCAAAAAAATACATTGTGGGCTTCACGATTTTTGCTCTAAAACAAAGAAGTTAGAGCTCTCAAGGGTTCAATATGATAAAAAATAAGATACCTTAATTTCCAGACAACAATGCATTCTCACGACAGGCCAATGGAGTTTTACAAAAAAGCAAATTCTCCAAACCTAGTCAAAACGAGTCCAATGAAACCGCAGCAGCAAACATGCAGTCCCCATGTGTGTCCAGTCCACTTACCTCCAGGCGCTAGCTCCACTTGGCACATACAAAAAACATCTATTTGTATGCTATCATCTTTGTCAGCAGGAGGTCGAAAAACACATTATCTCTGAGTCTAAACAAGAGCTCGCCGGGCGGTCGCTATCGGCTTCCTGCGTGGGCCAAAGCTAACGTTTGTGCCGCGCAGGAAGCAGAGACCATCCGGGTTTGGAGCGAGCTCGAGAATCGACATCAAAATGAAGAGAATGGGAACGCTTCGACATGTGGGAGAGTCCCGTCGCCCTTTTCGGGAAGTGGTTTTTCGGAAAAAAAGATGGGAGGATTGTGAAGGCCGAGTGACGCAAGAAAGTATTGGAGCTAAATTAAGGCCAAATATTTGTATACTTGCTTCTTTACTATAATAAAGCCAGATATTTTAGACTAGATTAGTTATTACGCTAAAGCTATAGATTTTAGACTTGCTTTTTGTTATGCTAGAGCTAGAGATTTTATATATGCTTCTTTACTATGCTAAAGCTAGACATTTTAGATTTGCTTCTTTATTATGCTAAATCAGGCTTATTGTGAATACAGACTTAGCAATTGCCATTTAACAGCATAAATCTCTTAAACTGGTTTAAGCTGGTGTGGTTTTAACACAAGTCCAGCAAGTGTACTGTACTTGTTTTATTCGACTGGTGTTGATCTCGATTTCCGCTGATCTTGGAATTTGACTGAAATGTTTTTTAATGATATTAAAGCTACTGCTAAACTGGCTGCTATCTCCACAATTTAGATTATAGCATTTATTCAAAAGTGTTCTATCTCTTAACATGCGTCTATTTGATTTCTGTGCTTCAAACTGTAACTCATTCCAATAATAGCAGGACATAAAGTGTGTTTCTCATTGGGAATTTGATACTAAACCAACCACAGCCGCTTTATTTTGCGGAAATAAAAAGCGTCGCAAAACTTCCCGAAAAGGGCCACTTCACTTCATCATCGGAAAACACACCGAAAATACATTCAACATTTGTCATAGAAATGCATATGTAGAAACACTTACTCAGGCTACAGTCTATCCTGATACAATCTGGCAGGAGAGAGAGCGAGATGGTGAGATCAAACCAAAAGAGAAAGAAAAAAAGAAAAAGAGAGAAATAAACATATTACATCCTTCAAAGAACATTCTGCAGACAACCAAGCAACGCTCTGGGCCACCATCCGGGGACGAGCTCACAGTCACGACCACCCTTTGAAACACGGACTAAGTGTGGGAATATATTTGCATCTCATTCCGGAGCTCGGCAGAAGGCAGGAGGTGTTTTGAAGCATCTGAGAATTCAACTATGTGTTTATTCCCATTTGCTCGCGTTGGCGTCTGTTTCCTTATGGGTTCAAATGTGTTTCAGGATACAGCGTTTTTTTCTTGGTGTATATGTATTTCACTCAGTTTGTAGAATGGTTAATTAAGCATGCTAAATTGAAATTGTGCGATGGGTCAATTGTCTTGGGTCAATCCTGCTTTTATGGTGTGGGTTTCTGATATTGGGTGTTATCTGTTTTCTTCTAAAGGTTTTTTAGATTCTTATACTTGTATTGATCAGTATCCTTGCAATACCACCAGGGGCGATGGCGGTGGACCCGGAATAAGAATTATTCAATGCTAATATATAGCATCTTCTTACCTCTCGAAAACGGCTTTACAGGATGGTCCAACAGTCGCTCTTGGCCCAACAAGAGTGTATTTTTTTGGACCAGTCTAGTTTAGTCGCTGTGGAATTTTGAAGGCACCCATCACATTTTTGTTTTTTCAAATTTTCCATCCCTCGTGGACATTTTGAAAACGCCCCTTAGAAGGCAAAAGTGATGGCGAAGATAGGCGTGACTATGTCCGTTAATATTTACAGTCTATGGTGCGGATTCATTCTACGGCTGTTCACAAAATAAACGTCAAAATAAAAGAAGACTGAGTAATTTCCTCTGCATATCCTCCAGTTGCGGGTACAACCCCCTTTCAGCGTGGGGGCAATCACCAAAATAAGAAAAACGCTTGAAATTTGTGTTGCTAGTGTACGCTAGTGTCAACAACTTTGTGTCTCTGTGTCGTGCATCTATGCAATAATTTAAGAATGTCAGAATGTGCAATATATAGAACCTCATGTGTTTAAGTGTTAGCAGAGCCTCATGCTGCTAACGATAAACTATAATATACAACTGCATATTTCTGCACTAAAACAGAAGTCAAACTCATTTTGGTCGGGGGCCAAATTTAAAAATGCAGGAGCTGCTTGTAGCCAGAAGCATACAATTGGTTTTCTTTTATGTGATATTTTTCTATCGACAAATGAACTGTAATTGCCATGAGTTTGATCACAACTGGGCCAAATATTATGGTTGTTTATAAAAAATTGTATCCGCACTCTCGTTCTTTCGCTCATTACCCAAAGCCAGATCAGAGGTGAGGGAGGGTGTGTCAATTAACCAGTAAACAGAAAGCTTTGTCTATAGACGCTGCTCCCTCATCAGTCCGCATCACTGCAGACTCTAAGGGACACTTCACCCGCCATATAAATTACACCAGTCCCGAGCCACTTAAAAGCTTTTTTATTATGTTTTTATCCTTGTTGTCCAATAACTACATATTATCACAGCAGAAGAAACTCTCATAATAATGTGTTTTATGTCTCCTGGTGCCGTCGTAACTCTAACGACTCCATTGTAAAGCTTAATTATGTTGCATTTTGTTTTATCACCGGCTATTAAGGCTTAAAGTCCCATCTGTTTCCGTTCCATTTCCTTACAGACTTCCATTCATTACCACCAACGTAATGCGACATGTAAGGTTTGGAAGTGAGCAGCAGATGCACGGTCTGACACCTGGTATTTTCACACATTTATTCTCGGTCCTTTCTGTTTCCTGTTTGCCTTCTGGAGAGCTCGGGGAATGAGAGAAAATACTGTAGACGTTTATATGGAGGTAAAGGGTGGTCTACACGTCCCAGCCACCCCCAGCCCGGTGCACACAAAAAACAAAGAGACAGAGGTACAAGAGAATTATCGGTTGTTAGAGAAGAGTTTGTTTATACTTGGATTGATTTGATTTTTGCATTTGGAAACAGTGGTTCTCTATGAAAAACGATTTTGGACCATAACCGACATCGCCAATATTAAAGTATTTTAATGGTTGGATTTGATTTCCTCGACAAAATGCAGCTAAATCGCTTCCTCAGACAGACACCGACTCTTTATTTAATTAAGTTTTGAATTATTTATTTTTTTGTGTGCATGTGAAGCACTTTAAGAACCTGACAGAAGATTTATCATAATTTCTCGCTTTACAATGATTCTCTGTGATCATTACAGACTATATTTCACCCTTTTTTCTCGAATGAAACGCACTAAAGGCATAACACTGTACTAACTTAATAACACACACTTTTATAATATGCTTTCTTTGTTTCTGTATTGTTATAAAAAGATGGCATTAACATTATCTGTGATGTTGTATCTGTATATTATTATAAAATAAAACTTTATTGATCTAACAATGGGGAAATTTACAACTGGTTTTAGATTTAAAGACGTTAAATTAAAAGACTATTTTGGACTTTTATTGATAGTTTTTTTTTTTTTTTTTTAGAACTAGTTTTAGTCAGGTTCATCAATTTCCGATAATTCTGACAATTTCAGAAATGTCAACATCTAAAAGAACATAAGATCTGAAATTGGAATTGGCAGAAGATAAAGCTAATAACAAATATCTACCCTTTAGTGTATGTTTAAACTTAAATATCTAAATGACAAAACAAATGTTCTCCAACCTTATGTCAACATATAAAGTATTGTTATTTTGAAGGTGAATATTCCTTGCTCTATACAGCCCCAAAAAATCTCTTTACTATATTCGTACCATTATTAATATCTTAAAAATAAATTAGCATTTTAGAATTGTTAGCATGGTTTTGACCTTGAATAGAGTCTGGTCATTTCTGTACATGACGTCAACAAAGACATCTTCCATTTCTCATGTTAAAACTTTAAGAAAGTATTAAATCAATGAATTTGATGGAGAAAAAAAGAACCACTGTCTCCGGAAGCTATTGTTGATGCTAACTTTATGTGCACGTGGCAAAGTGGCCGGACCGTGGACTGGAGCCGTCAACCGCGACAGAATAGTGGAAGCGAACAGCCGGGGACCAGCGTCACACTTTAGCAACAGAAAAAACCTAGACAAAAACTCCAAATCATGCTAATTAATGAAAAATGTTCTCCTTTCTTTTGCTAACTGGGGGTTCGTAAAAGCAGTAGGAAGGTGTCAGTTTCTCACATTGTTTGCTAATTGAAGCGTCTCGTGAGAAAGCGGCGGCATTTGCAGGAGTCGCTAATAATTAAGGAGAGAAGGTGTGGTTGCTAGCTAACAAATTCCAATCAAAGAATGGAAAAACAAACTGTCTTTCTCTTTTGGAAAAAAAGGTGAGATTTGGTGAGCTGGTCTCGCTGGCTGTCCGATCCGAGGGCCGCAGACAAACAAGCCATTGAAGGGATGAAAAGTTCCATCGTAAAGAGATTTAGCCAAGAAAATGTTGGTTTGGTTTTGACCAGTCGTTCCTCCGCGCATATGCGCATGTGTCGCTAGCATTGCAGGCTCATAAATTAAATGATATATTCAGAGCTAGCATCACAAAGAAAAAGTTACCAAATTAAAAAGCCATCCGTCTGAGAGATTTTCCGATAATCATAAATACTGTATATTCAGCATTGGTTTCTATTGATTTTAACCTCTACTTTTGTGGAGGGAGCTAAATATTAAAGCTTGCATCGTAATAAAAGTTGTAGCTGACTGACGTGTTGGAGCTAAGCTAAAGTTGACGCTAACATACAATTGTTTATGCTTACTTAAGATGAGAGTCGTTTATATTGTACACTTTGGGGGGAAAAAATTATTTAACATATACTAGCATTAGCATCTATGTACAGTTTCACAAAAATGCTAAGTCCGCTATGTTCTGACTCTGAGTTTAATCTAATCCAACTCTGTTCTTTTTACTTTTTGGAGAAATTTCACTTAACAGTAGAAGATTTACACTAGCTAAACTTATTTTTTTTTCAAAACAAACTGATAAATGTACTAAATGGATTGATATTGAACTGCTTTTTAAGATGCTTTTGTTGCTTATGAATTCGGATGTAGCCTTTTCTTGAAACTTGTCTCTGTGGACGATCTGCGCAAGTTTCTACAAATGTGCATTCGTTCCCAAGCTCAATTCTATATCTCGCTCGCAGAATGTCTCGCTCCAAAAGCCTCCCCCTGGTCCAATACCTTCCCATGACATTATAATAAGGTGACCATATCTTTGTGATACCAGAATCATGTCCTTGCACTGCCAGCGACACGAGCACATCAGTCGCCCCCTCCTCCGGTCTCGCGTGGTCTAAAAATGAAATTTGACAGCACATCTATCTCTCTCCTTCTCACTCCGCTGCCTAAACCCTCTCAAGGTTCCACAAATTGCGAGGATCTAGAGCAAGCAGGAAAGTCAGGGCCATTTATCAGCCATGAAAAAGTTAATGAACTCAATGATTCCTCAAGCGGTTATTGCAAGAAACTGATCCGTCTTTGCAGGATATTTTCGTTCGTCTTGGAGAAAAGACGTTGGTTCATAAGAGAGGGATTCCCAAACCGGATTAACGCTGACCTCCCGGCGGATTGGGCTTTGCAGAGAACACGCAGAGACCACGCAGAGACTGGTTTGTGGGGCGAGGAGAGAGAGGCGAAAGGTCTGGCCTGATTGTTTTTCGATGGAGCTTTTATTGGAATGGGTCAGGGGTACGTTGGAGGATGGAACGGCACAGAAGTGGAGTGAAGAGAGAGAAAAAGAGAGAGAGTTGGATTCAAAGAAAGAGTCCACAGAGGCCGATTTGTTGTGGAATGGTTTGCTAGTTGGATATAAGACAAAGCTAATTGTAAATCTCACAGCCACATTTTAGCTGGAAGATTGAAGACTAGAGCAACATTCTGCCTTGGCCTCTTTTTGGGCGTGAATAAATCTTCTTTCTGTGAGTCCGCCTTAAATGGTCTTCATGTTTGTTGTCATTTTAGCCATAATTGTGTTATCTCATGTTTATAATTGTTCTATAATTGCATTTTTGTTGGGACAGGACAGACTTAGACATTTCTGTTAGAATTCCATGAGACTTTAACCATTTAACCGAGAACGTATTTAACTTGAAGAACCTCAGTGGAGATTGTTCAAAGGAAGTACCGACTAAGTTCCAATTACTTTATCCAACACTGAACCCCACTGATGCAAAAGATAATATATAAACATTAAGCCACAAACAATCTTGAGTTGATTAATCTAAAAGAAAAAGAAAAAAGGTTATTTCTACATATATAACTTCATATTTAGAAAAAGACTATAAGATAACTAAAATTAAGTCTAGGAATCAATCTAGATAAGTTTGTCAATTCTAATTTTCTTTGGTCAGTTTTTCACCGGTCCAAACCTATTTTTTACATTTTCAAATCGTATTTTGTACAAGGAAGTCTTTCAATATATCCAAGACCAAATCCATCAACAAACTGAACATGGCTTTCCTCTGGGCAAGAAGAAAGAGTAGACAGAAGGGAAAGGGAAGAAAGAGTAGAAATAGACAGTAGAAAGAGAGTAGAAAGTAAGAAAGTCGGAAGAGAAGTGTAGAGATAAAGAAGAAAGAGAAGAAAGTGTAGAAAGACAGAAAAAAAGTAGAAAGAAGCAAGAAAGTAGAATGAGTAGAATGATAGAGATGGGAGCCACAGAGCTGGTGTGTGTCTGGCCTGTAGGCTCCGTGGAGGCTCCGTGGAAGCTCCGAGGAGGCTCCGTGGAGGCTCCGGGGAGACTCCGTGGAGGTCGTACCCAGGTTGACGGTGAGCTTGATGCGTCCCCCGTCCAGCTCCAGCCTCAGCGTGTCTGCAGACTCCTTGGAGGTGGTGGCCATCAGGAGGCCGTACGCTCGCTGCGACATGAACCTGAGGGCCACGTCCTCCGCCTCCGTGTGCATGGTCACCGGCACGATGATCTTCAGGTACATGCTGCCGTCGTAGCTCAGCACCGTGGACTCTGCAACCACAAGAGGAGGAAGAAGAAGAAGTTTGACTCGCTGTTTTTGACCATTCAAAGGAGCAACATGCACAAATCTGGCTAAAAGTGGTACTGCAGCCTCTCCCGCTCTCCCTGACTCAGGTTGCCAGATATGCAGACGAATCCAGCTGGGACCATAACAGCTGAATAGACAAGAGTTTTGATAACAACAAATCTATAACCAACATCTTTATCCACAAACATAGAAATACTGGTTTTATTCCTTGTTTTTGTCGTTAAGGATTTGAGAATCATGAGACCTTTTTTTTAGTTTTGTAGCCACATGGTACTTCACCAGTGAGATTAGCTCGCTGTGAGTTCTGGCAACCCGGATCAAAAACGTTCTGATTGGTGAAACGGTGGAGGGCGGGACATCAAAATGAAAACAATAACAAGATTTAGGGGCTATAAAACTCACATTGAAATTCAAATATCTCTGAACTACTGTTATCAGTTAAAGAAGTATTGGAAAAGAGCATGTTTTATTAATGCCTTTTGACAGATTAGGGCCCTTTAATGATGACTTGACATGAAAATCTTACATATTGCTACTTTAAAACGAATATAGAGACTTTACTTTGTCATATATTGTTTTATGATCAATGTCTTTAAATTAGGCATTAATGTCTTGGATCAGCAATGTCCTGAGACCCTCCTGCATCTGCAACTAGAGTTTCCTTGTTTCATTTAGGAAAAAAGACCATTTGAGAACCCCAAAAGTCTCCAAAAGCAGCGCAACTATGACAGAAAATAAATGAAATCAGTGAAGCATCTCTTTTCATTTCAGTCATATGGATTGCAAGATGAATCAGAATTCACTCCACAGTTAGAGCGACCGAAAAGAAATTGCAAAGAGTAATTATTCAATTCCTATTATAACATAATCTTCATGCAAATTTTTGAGCTCTGAAATTACTTTCAGCACAGCTTCAGTCCTGGTCTTTCTCTGTCTCTGGTCTTTCTCCATCTCTGGTCTCTCTCTGGTCTTTCTCAGTCTCTGATCTCTATGTCTCTAGTTTCTCTCTGGTCTTTCTTAGTTTATCTGGTCGGTCTCTGGTCTCTCTTTTTCTCTGTCTCTCTGGTCTCTCTCTGTCACTGGTCTCTCTCCATCTCTGGTTTCTCTCTGTCTGTGGTCTCGCTCCATCTCTGGTCTGTCTCTGGTCTCTCTCTGTCTCTAGTCTCTCTCCATCTCTGGACTCTCTCCGTCTCTGGTCTCTCTCCATCTCTGGTCTCTCTCCGTCTCTGGTCTCTCTCCATCTCTGGTCTCTCTCCGTCTCTGGTCTCTCTCCATCTCTGGTCTCTCTCCGTCTCTGGTCTCTCTCCATCTCTGGTCTGTCTCTGGTCTCTCTCTGTCTCTAATCTCTCTCCATCTCTGGTCTTTCTCAGTCTCTCGGATGTCTCTAGTTTCTCTCTGGTCTTTCTCTCTCTCTCTGGTCTCTCTCTTTCTCTGTCTCTCTGTCCTCTCTCTGGTCTCTCTCCATCTCTGGTCTCTCTCTGTCTCTCCCTGGTCTCTGTATCAATCCTTTCCAGAAGGCCTTTTGAATCCTTGGGCACAAATACACAATAAGCTTCTCTTTATAACTTTGCTCACGTTTTTAAACAGTAAAAATCGCTCCTGGTGATTTCAGTCCCACTCAAACCCATCTCCTCTGTCTTTCTCAAACCTGACTCTTCCTATCTCTATCTCTCTCTCTCTCTCTCTCGCCCTGTCTGTGGGTGGAAAGCATTCATTAAAAAACACATTTCACATTGCCTCCAAAAACCACCTTTTAATATGGGAGACATTTTTGACACTGAGGAGCCCGCGACGAATGAAGGCTTATCGTAACTAGCTGCAGTGACCAGACAGGCGCCCCGAGGAGACGGAATGTATGGGACGATCTGGACGAGGATCTGGTAACTCGCTCGCGGCAGAGTCTGTGCTCAAGGATTCAAGAGGGTCTCTGTAGCGGAGGGAGACAGACCAGGGAGAGACCAGGGAGAAACCAGGGAGAGAGAGACCAGGGAGAGAGACCAGGCGATGAGAGATCAGATGAGAGATCAGTTAATAATCAGAGGACGAACACTGGGAGGAGAGGAAAGCAGAGACAGAGAGAAACTAAGCAAGAGAGTAGAGAGAGAGACCAAAGAGCAGCGAGAGAGACCAGGGAGAGAGAGATAAAAGACGGAGACGAGAGAGCGAGACAAAAAAGAACGACTGGAGCGAGAGAGAATTACTTGTGTACAAATATGAAATATTATGTAGGGAGAAAATACAGGCAAGGCATATTCTCTCTGATCTCACTGGTCTCTCTCTGAAACTAGTAAAACCTTAAAAACATATATACAAAAAAGTAAGCTCAACATTTAGATAGCTTTTTATATTATAAATATATGAATTGTTTATTTTTTATTGTTTGTCCTTTTCTTCAGTAGTTTTTGCGTTGGTTTGGAACATTACAACAATAAGTTACGGACACACACACATTCCCACTCCCTCCAAAACACACACATTAAATGACGCAAAATCAAACAAATACATGAAACATCTGTCACTGCACATACAGTATTTATATTCACTGCATATGATCGGCAACATGAAAGAGCCTTTGATTTCCATGTGTAATACCCCCACTGTCCACAAGATGTCAGACCAGCACCGTGCCTTTCCCATTCCCTCCCTCAGTCTGTGATCTCACGCAGCTCACCTCCCCTGACTCTGTCCTGGTCTGACGGGTGTTTAATATGAGAAGTATCTGAGATTGTGTGTATTTGTGTGTGGAAGGAGTTTGTATAAAGAGGAGCAGCTCATTTGCTTCTGTGTTTTTAATGTTCACAGCAGTTATTTTAAGTTTTATTTTTAACGAGCAGAGAATCAGGTACATTTATGAACATGAGAGAGAGAGAGAGAGAGACAGAGAGAGACAGTGGCCAGAGAAAGACAGTGAGAGACCACAGAGAGAGACCAGTCAGAGAGACAGAGGTAGAGACATGAGAGAGAGAGACCAGAGAGAGTTACCAGAAAGAAAGAGACAGACAAAGATACAGATATACAGACATACAGACAGAGGGAGAACCAGAGAGAGAGAGCAGAGGGAGAGAGCAGAGAGAGAGAGCAGTGGGAGTGGCCGGAGACAGAAAGACGGAGAGACAACGGGAGAGACCAGAGAGAGAGAGAGCAGAGGGAGTGGCCAGAGAGAGAAAGACAGACAGAGAGAGAGGGAGAAACTGAAAGAGGTGGAGAGAGACAGAGACATAGAGAAAGACAGGGAGAGAGAGACAGATAGAGAGAGACAAACGGAGAGAGAAGAGAGATGGAGAGAGAGACAGAGAAACTTGTCCCTGTCTGGTCTCTCCCTCTGTCTGTCTGTCTCTGTCTCTCTTTCTCCCTGTCTCTCAATCTGAGCAGCTCATTCAGATTACAAACATCTACTTCATAACTCACCGATCTCACAGTTTGGCCCCAGGAAGCCGGTGCCGGTGCAGTCGCAGATGTAGCGGTTCCAGCCCTCTTTGCAGATCCCGCCATTGCCACAGGGGGCGCTGCTGCACCTCTTCTGCAGCTCGCGGGTGCAGAAGCTGCTGACCCCCATGGCGCTCTGGATCTCCGCCAGGCGCCGCACGTCTCGGCTCTTCCCGTCGATGAAGAGGTCTCGCACGCAGCCCACGTAGCCGTAGTTGAGCAGAGCGGTCCAGACCTCCGGGGGCAGGATCAGGTCGGACTTGGTCTCAGGAAGACCCCCTAGGTACATGTCGCTGTCCAGGTCCAGGATCTCGCTGCCCTCGGGGGAACTGAAGGGCATGCTGCGACTGTTCACTGAGATGGAGCCTACGGGACACAGGGACAACATTCATTCATTCATAAACCTAAATATGTCTTGCCGCTTAAAGGTACAGTGGGGGAAAAAACTATTTAGTCGGCAACTAATTGCGTAAGTTCTCCCACTTCAAATGATGAGGGGGGCCGGTAATTTTCATCCTAGGTATTCCACAACTATAAAAGAAAGAATGAGAACAAAATTCCAGAAAATTCACATACATCACTGCATGGAAGAATGGGCCAAAATACCTGCAACAGTGTGTGAAAACTTAAATGTTTGAGCTCTGTCATTGCCAACAAAGGGTATTAAAAAAAAGTTTTGAGATAAACTTTTGTTATGACCAAATACTTATTTTTCGCTATATGATTCAGATTCAGATTCAGATTCATTTATTTGCCATTTGCAGTAAAACCACATTGGAAAAACTGTGCAAGACTACCCCGGTGTGCGCCAGATTGATTGACTGATTGGTAAATAAATTCTTTAATAATCAAACAATGTCATTTTCAGACAATGTGACTTTTTTAATACCTTTCTCACTTGCTCTGTTATAGTATTAGAAAAGCGCTGCATTAATTTCGACGTTTTAAATTATTTTGCACTGTTTTTATTATGTACCTGTATGAAAGAGAGCAGCCGGCACCACTGTAATTTCCTTTGGGATCAATTAAGTTTATCTTTTCTTATATCCGCCCACTATATAATGTCCGTTGAACTGGAGACATTGGACTTTTTACCACTCGAGTACGAACCCTCAGTCCTGGATCTACAGCCTCAGTCCTGGATCTATAGCCTCAGACCTGGATCTAAAGCCTAAGTCCTGGATCTACAGCCTCAGTCCTGGATCTACAGCCTCAGTCCTGGATCTACAGCCTCAGTCCTGGCTCTACAGCCTCAGTCCTGGATCTAAAGCCTAAGTCCTGGATCTACAGCCTCAGTTCCGGATCTAAAGCCTAAGTCCTGGATCTACAGCCTCAGTGACCAAGACATTTAAGGATATTTAAAAACATTTCTGGATAGTGGTCATCCCTCTCCAATGACTCCCATGTGTCTTGTTTTACAAGACACATTCTATTCTATTCTATTGAAGTATTCTATTACAATACTTCAATTCAAACTTTGATTTGCTGATCTATTGGTGAATCGACAACAAGACGACTGCGGTTGTGATTTAAGGATCCTACATGCAATCATTGTGTGGTCAAAAGTGTTAAGATGCCATTTTGCAACACGTTTTTTTGGGAGATGTGATTTTAAAACACAATATCTCACGAACAAAAGACTTCAGAACAATGTCTCTTTGATACTGGCAAACTGCTCTGACGGTATAGACGGCGCGAAGCAGGAAGCGGCGTCCGACAACGGCGTCTAATGCGCGAGTAATGAGTTAAATGGAGGAGAAGGCGAGCAGAATGGAAGTGAAACAAAACCCCTCTCGCACTTGTGTGATTAACGACCCCGTCCTAATTTTCTATTAAAAGCCAATTACTGCCCGAGCCGCGGCGAGATAACAGGTAAGCGCGCACGCCAGCCCCACCGCTCGCTCGCTCATTATAACAACGCCATTAGAGGAGATAGAATGTCCGAAGAGTCCCTCGCCCACGACCGTCCATCAGAGGCAGCTGTCGTCAGGAAACTGGATTCTGGTGACGCCAGAGCAACCATTCATCAATAGCCTCAGTGTCTCATCGGTGAATGGACTTCTGTATTTCGAACATTTGAATTCTCAGATCGAATGACTGATATTATGCACCTGATATTATAGCGCTGGGGTGTCCAAACATTTTAGTAAGAGGGCCGCTTTTGTTCACCAGAGTAGTCCAGGGGCTGATATCACAGACTGATAAAAACTGTCTGAACTGGTATCTGGCTGTTCTGAGCTTTAAAATGATCTATAACAGAGCTGAAGTTGGCTGAGTGACATATATTTATCAAGCTACATTAGCACCATTAACAGAAGTTTGTGAAACAATCAGAAACCAGTTTGTACAAATAAAGTCAATGACTGAATTTCAGACGTGTCTATATTGGCTGAGCTGAAGTTGGATGGATGACACAGTGAACTTGTGTTTGGGCTACATAAACTGACACTGAGGTGGAAGTATATATTTTTCTGGTACTCAAGTAAACAGTGTATTAGGTGAGGGTAGACTGGTGCAAAGTGGGGCCCCTCTCAGATTCATACACATTTTACCAATATTAATGGTTATTATTATATATGTGCTATCATGGCTTGTTACATTTATTCTGTTTTCATGAATAATAATATAGTAACAATGCTCTAAACACAGTATTCACCAACAAAACACTGGAAACCTTCATGTGTGTTCAGGAAAGGTCCCATAAATCGTCTCGGCACTCACCTCTCCTCCCCTCCCTCTGGAAATCCACGTGGCACCAGTCCCCGTCGTTGACTTTCTTGTTGCTGGCCTTGAGCTTGGTTTTCCCGGAGCCCATGTCAATGAGGAGGTACAGATACCCGTCCAGCAGCTCCATGGCAAAGTAGTCCGTCTTCAGCTCCCGCCCGGGCTTCTGCTCTTTAGGACCCTGGGGAGGCCGTCCGTGGCTGAACAGCAGGAGGCCGCTGGGCTCCGTGGTCCTGAAGTCGAAGGAGATGGATCCGGTTTTCTTGGTGTTCCACTTGGGCAGAGAGATGAAGGAGTCGGGGGTCTCGAAGGTGACGGGGTCCAGGGCTGCCACGTCCTCGCAGCGGAACACAAGGTCTCCGTTCAGGGTGATTTTAGGGTCTCGCTCGATGGCCAGGCGAGACAAATCCAGCTTGAAGTCGTTGTTCTTGTAGACAACCTAGAACAAAAGCAGAAGGACAGAAGATGACATGAGAAATCAGTTTACAAGCACAATAATCAAAAGAACAGACCCGCACTGCAAAAAAATATCAAATATGAGTTATTATTATACGGCTCGTCACAGTAGAAGTAGAATGGATGGATTTTAATGTAACTTAAAAACATTCTACTGGCCATAATCTCTTGATAATGTACCTCATAAACCAATAATGGCCGCTGCCCATAGCAACGCAATTTGTGCTTGTACTTCACAAGTGTAAGATCACCCCGCAACAAGTCCGGCCACTTCATCCATGAGCTTTCAGCGACACTACTTTTCTCTCGGCGAGAAACTGGAGAATCGATCCTGAGGTTAACGGGAGTCCGACTTTAAACTTACCCAGAGATCCACCGCCATCCCTCATCTCCAACTGCAAATTCACCGTCCGGTTTAATATAAATAAGTAGCTAGCCTAGCTGTTACGTCCCAAGCTCTTGTGTGGGAACTACTTTATTTGCTGTCACTGAATAAATGTTTCAGAATTCATAAAACTGGACTGAAGTTTTATTTTTATTTTTTTCAGTGTAGCAGCCTCTGAGTCCAAGACATAATAAATTAATCTTAAATCTTAAATCTTGTGTTTTCAGTTAGTAGATAAATGTATTTCGATTCGCCCTGACGGTACTTATTTCCCAGTAATGACCTGCGTTCTATACATTATCCCTTACGTATTTGAATCCAGTTGTTTTTATCCTATTTTGAGTACATTGTGACTGCCTTAAAACAAGATTTCTAAAGAGTCTTAATCCTTGACCTAAAAGATAAAAACGCCCAAATAATATGAGTCATTGAAGGGATTGATAAAAAGTCCAAGGAAAAACAAACTTAAAAATCCAATGGGAACCGGGAAAACGACCGACATTGACAACGGACCAGCAACAACTGAGGAGCACAGGTACGAGACACAGTACAGTACACAGTGAGGGACAATCAACACAGGGGAAAGGTAAGGAAAAAACTAATCCACACCATGACATATTATTCTTAAAAAAATATTCACGTTTCATCAAATATACATCATCTAATCCGTGACTGCCATGCAAAAAGTGGTGAAATATATGTTAAAAATAGCTTGAATTGAGAGGTAAACAAGATTCTCCAACGGGACAAAGACATTTAGTCGTATTTCAAGAACTGCTGCTGTACGTTCTCATTCCAAGGGAGACATATCTTTTTAAAAACGAGATCATTTTGTTTTGTCCCATTGGCAAATCTTGTTTAAAGGCTCAGTCCGTACAGTATGTGCTCAAGTTCTCAGTGTGCTCAGTCTCTCTCTGGCCTCATTCTAGTCACTCTCTACTCTCTCTATGGTCTCTCTCTGTTCTCTGTCTACTGTCTCTATGGCCTCTCTGGTCTCTTTCTGGTGTCTCTCTCAATCCATCTCTGGTCTCACTATCAATCAATCAATCAATCAAAGTTTATTTGTAGAGCGCCTTTCATACACATGGCAACACAAAGCGCTTCACAGTCCACATCACAAATCATCACATAAAACAAACACCAGAATCACAATTAAAACATTAAAATCACACAAAAGATTAAAACACAATTAAAACATTAAAATCACACAAAAGAATAAAACCATTAAAACTTTCAAAATTACACAAGAAATTTAAAAAAATAAATAAATGACAGCAGTGCATTAAAAATGGAGATAAAATCCTTCAGTTGTATGCACAGGCAAACAGAACAGTCTTTAACCTGGATTTGAACATTGACAGAGTAGACGCCTCCCTCACATTTTCAGGGAGATTGTTCCAGATCTTAGCTGCATGGATCTGAAACGCAGCCTCCCCATGTTTGGTTCTCACTCTGGGCACCAGCAGGAGGCCAGTCCCTGTGCTCCTCAGAGTCCGGGCTGGTTCATATGACACCAACATGTCACTAATGTATTCTGGTGCAAGGCCATGGAGAGACTTGTACACAAGCAGAGCCGTTTTAAAATCTATTCTTTGAGCCACAGGAAGCCAGTGCAAAGACCTGAGGACCGGACTAATATGGTCATACCTCCTGGTTCCTGTCAGGACTCTAGCTGCTGCATTTTGGATGTACTGCAGCTGCTTACAGGTCTGTTTGGACAGACCTGTAAGCAGGCCATTGCAGTAGTCTAGCCTGCTGGAGACAAATGCATGGACAAGAATCTCCAAGTCTGCCCTGGACACTATATTTCTAACTTTGGCAATGTTCTTCAGATGGTAAAAAGCTGTTGATGTTATTGATTTTATGTGGCTATTGAAATTTAGGTCTGAGTCCAGTATTACCCCCAAATTTCTGACCTTGTCTGAAGGAAGTAGGGAGAAAGACTGAAGTTGACAAATGACGCCCTCTCTTTGTTTCTGGGGACCAAAGACAATGATTTCGGTTTTGTCTGTATTTAGCTGGAGGAAATTATTTTGCATCCAGTCACTGATCTGTTGGATACAGTGAAGGAGCAAATCCAGCGGTCCATGTTCTCCTGCAGTCAGTGAGACATAGATCTGAGTGTCGTCAGCGTAATTGTGGTAGGACACTTTGTTTCTTTGTATTAACTGACCTAACGGCAGCATGTAGAGATTAAATAGGAGAGGTCCCAGGATCGACCCCTGTGGTACACCACAGGTCAGGGCCACATCATCTGAGACGCAGTCTCCAATCTCCACAGAGTACTTCCTATCCTCCAGGTAAGACCTAAACCAGTCTAGGGCTGTGCCAGTGACACCAGCCCAGTCCTCCAGTCTCTGCATGAGGATCTCATGGTCGACAGTGTCGAACGCGGCACTAAGATCTAACATGACCAAAACTGTGACTTTACCTGCATCAGTGTGAAGTCGAATGTCGTTTGTTACCTTCACTAGAGCGGTCTCAGTGCTGTGGTGGGGTCTAAACCCAGACTGGAACATATCAAAAGAATTATTCATTGTTAAAAATTCAGTAAGTTGTTGGGAGGCCACTTTTTCAAGAATTCTTCCAATAAATGGCAGATTCGATATGGGGCGATAATTTTGAAGTCCCGCAGGATCCAGACTGCTCTTTTTTAGGAGAGGTCTTATGACTGCTGTTTTTAGGGCCATAGGAAATGTTCCTGACGACAGAGACATGTTTACTATTTGTGTCAGTGAAGGTAACAAACTGCTCAGGACGGACTTCAGAAATTTAGAGGGCAATATATCCAGGCTACATGTGGAGGAGCTCAGACTCATGATTATCTTTTTGACAGTTTCAGTATCCACAGGTGCAAAGTGAGTTAGCTCAGAAAGCTTCTCTGGCTGTTGCATTGTTATACGTGCTGTGGAGGTGATAGTGTTTTTGATTCCTTGTACTTTGTCATCGAAAAACTGTGCGAACTCATTACACCTAGATTTAGAGGAAAATTCTAGGGGCAACTTTACAGGGGGGTTCGTTAATCTACCAACTGTTGAAAACATAACACGAAAATTGTTACTGCAACCTCCAATAATGTCAGAAAAATACATTTCTATGGTCTCTCGCTAGTCTCAAGTCTCTCTCTAGTCCATCTCAATCTCTAGTCTCACTATGGTCTCTCTGGTCTCTCTCCAGTCTCTCTGTCTGGTCCCTCTCTGGTCTCTCGCTAGTCTCTCTCTCTAGTCTCTCTATGCTTGCTCTCTACTCTCTCTTTGGTCTCTCACTGGTACCTCTCTGGTCTCTCTCTCTAGTTTCTCTCTAGCCTCTCTCTGGTCTCTCTCTAGTCTCTCTCTCTGGTCTCTCTCTCTAGTCCCTCTTTAAACTCATAAACGTGATCTTGGTGGATTCTTAATCACAAAACTCGACTGGAGCAGCATCCGTCAGCTCCTGCACAGAGCGGCCACAGATGCATTCTAATTACCCATATTAATTCCAAATGGCTTCTGGGAAATCTTGTCAGTGTGAAATAATGATTCACAACACGGCCGGAAACCTGGCCTCAGAATCTCACTGTGTCCAGGACAATGGAGCAGAGAGCGATGTGTGTGAAATGAACAACTAAAAGACACTTTACCGTTTGCAACATCTGTTTCGTTGTGTACTGCACTTCTAGAACTACATAATATAACCACTGGTTTCTCTCTCTGGTCTCTCTCTCTCTCTAGTCTGTCTCTGGTCTCTCTTGTATCTTTCTCTGGTTTCTTTTTCTGCTCTATTGTTTGTCTCTCTGGGCTCACCAGAGTGAGCTCTGGTGTCTCTCTCTGGTCTCTTCTTTGTCTCTCTCTCTGCTCTCTCTCTCGTCTCTCCCTAATCTCTCTGGTCTCTCCCTCGCCTCTCTCTGGTCTCTCTCCCTTATCTCTCTGGTCTCTCTCTGGTCTCTCGCTTGCCTCTCTAAAATCTCTCTTGTCTCTCCCTTATCTCTCTTGTCTCTCTCGCTGGTCTCTCCCTTATCTCTTTCTTGTCTCTCCCTTATCTCTCTTGTCTCTCTCGCTGGTCTCTCCCTTATCTCTTTCTTGTCTCTCCCTTATCTCTCTGGTCTCTCTCTGTTCTCTCCCTTATCTCTCTTGTCTCTCTCGCTGGTCTCTCCCTTATCTCTTTCTTGTCTCTCCCTTATCTCTCTTGTCTCTCTCTCTGGTCTCTCCCTTATCTCTCTCGTTTCTCTCTCGTCTCTCCAGTGCCTCTCTGAAATCTCTGGTCTTTCCCTTATCACTCTGATCTCTCCCTTATCTCTCTCTCGTCTCTCCCTTATCTCTCTTGTGTCTCTCCCTTGTCTCTCTCTCTCGTCCATCCCCTATTTATCTGTCTGGTCTCGCCCTTATCTCTCTCATCTCTCTCTCTGAATTCTGGGAGAGACAAGAGAGAGACCAAACGCAAACAACAAAAGAAAGAAATCGTATTAAACATTAAAATCAGGTCAAAAACAAACTAACAAAAAGTCCAGACCATGAAAAGCCTCTGCCTGACGAGTCTTTGAACAACTGTCCCATTGTTCCACCCCCACGCATCCATAATGGATAAAACGCTAACGGCTAACGGCTACCCAAATTACCCTCTGT